CATTATTACTACTATTACTGTAATAGGGCGACAGGTTTTGCGAACTCTGTCCACAATAGGGCGATACACCTTATTGAGGCTACAAAATAACTGTCGCCCTTTTATGAAAACGACCCTTAGGACAAGGAATTTTGCTGCCGAAAACCATCTAGATCGATTCCTCATGGTCCAATTAGTATAAATACTAAATTTCGTGGAAAAAACATAAGGTAAACTTGGTTTAGGTGACAGTTTAGGTTTGTGCACAAGTCTATGGGAAAGTCACCCTATTGCAGCCAAAAGAGTTATTATTATTATTATTATTATTATTAATAATTTGGAGGGGGGGGGGGGCTAATTTATACCGTTAGCTCAAATTTGGTTTGCAACTACCAAGAAAGAAAACAAGACTAGGCATGTGTAGTGAAGATGGTCTTAGAGATGAACTCGGTCTCAGGGGAATAAGGAGTTACCTTAGTCATTTGTTTGCGGGCCACGGTAGGGCTTAGACAAGTCAAAATCTTAAGAGACAGTCAGTCAGGTCAGGTCAGGTCAGGTCAGGTCATGTCAGGTCAGCTAGGTCAGGTCAGTCAGATTGGGTCGGGCTTATTCAAGTCTAAATCACAAGAGACAGTCATCAGGCCAGTACTTCACGTCAGGTCAGGTCATTCAGGTTAGGTCAGGTCGTGTCAGGTCAGGTCAATCAGGTCGGGCCGGCCAATCAGGTCAGGACAGTTCGGGTTGGGTCTGGTTTTATTCAAGTCTAAATCTTAGACAGGTGAGGTCAGTTAGTCAGTTCAGGTCAGTTCAGTTCAGATCAGGGCAGGTCAAATCAGGTCAGTCAGTTTGGGTCGGCCAGTCGGGCTTAATATTCTAGTCGAAATCACAATAGACAGTCCGGCCCGGTCCGTTCGGTCGATGCGTGCCAGTGTGCTAGATAGGTGCTAAATAGTATAGGCTGGCCCTCTGGGACCAGCACAACTTTAGTTTAAACAAATACATGTAAGGCCATGAGACACTTTAACAGATCACTGACAGTAATAAATGATATCTAGAAACAACACAACACTGCAGGTGCACGCTTACACTCTATCTAAAGTGCTTTTATTGAATGAATACATGTATACATTTAACACAGAAAAGAGACGTGGAAGATAAAGGCTTGTGTCATATGCCAAACTTTCTCTATCATGTCTCTGGCTACATATTTATCTAATTTCTTGGGCTTTAAGTTAATGGCCACCATTTGCAAACATTTTTTTTTTGGCGTCTCAAGAAATATCAAAATAATGCAATCAATCTGATGCAGGATATTAATGACAAACAAACAAAAATTTCGTCTTAATTAGGCACAGTAGATGTCATACTTTTGAGAAAACTGTAACAATGCATCTTTTTTTTTCTCACGCAAAGCATGTTTTGTTTGGCTGTTTGAAGGTTTGATCCTAACCATCGCGATGAATTGATGGTTATTCTTTTTGCCTGGAAAAAGACAGAATACTGGGCGGAAATTTTTTCACAGGATGCTTTATATCCTTTTATTTTCTGAAAATTAAGTAAGATAATTCATAATATTTTGATAGTTTTATGTTTGAGCGTTTGCAAATGGTGTCGATTACCTTTAACCACTTCAAAAGTTAAAGGAAAGGGGAAAAAAGAAAAAAAAAGAAGGGGAAAAAAACCCAAAACAATTTGCTAAGGAGTATTTCCAGTTACAATTGGTTTTTATCTATTTCCACCAGTTACTGAGGTTCATGCTTAACCATGTGGGAAAGGACAATTAATAAGGAGTAATAATCTATATATAATAATGCTTATTTCTATTAAGAAAATAGTGTATACCAGATTTGCTAAGATAATTAAGTAAGGTATATTGGATATTTGAAAAGTTTCATGCAATATTTTTTGGAATTTTATATAGTGTTGTTAAACAAAACTGTCGGCAGTGCATACTGAATAATATTCATTCCATGGGTTTACGAAGTGATTTTGAGTGGGTTAACTCTTTTGTAGTGACTCAAATTTACCCACTTCAAATAGCGCCCTCTTATTGTGTACGCCATACCTTAACAAGGATAATAGCTTGTAACGCTTGCAGTTATTATCCAAGTTTCAGGTTAACTTTCATCCGGAGATTGTCGAATAGTAGTGTTTTCTGGGTCCAAGAAAATCCCGACAAATTGTCTGACATTTCCAGAAAAAGATTGAAAACGCCCGTTTGTTTACATCTGGCGCGTCTGCGATTTTTGCCTCTCCTTTAAGTATTTCTAGCAGTGAAAAAAAAAGCCATTGAATTTCAACTCAAAAATTAAACCGTCATTTTTGGCGAGCTGCGAAGCAGAAGCGAGCCTATGTAATACCAATTTCCGTCCGTCCGCCCTTACCAGGGACCACTTGAGGGGTACCCGTCCTTTGTTCGAGGTACCCCACCAATAAAATCTTTAGAAAAAAGGGTACCCCGCAACGAAATCTTTAGAAATAGGGACAATGGGACAACAATGCTGATAAAAATGTTGAAGTTTTTGGTTCTAGCTTACGGAAACGTATTACCGCCACACATTTATTTATTTTTTTCACGTACGTACGTGATAAGTTTCACGTACGTACATGATAAGTTATCTGTTTCACGTACGTACATGATAAGTTTCACGTACGTACGTGATAAGTTTCACGTACGTACGCGATAAGTTTCACGTACGTACATGATAAGTTTCACGTACGTACGTGATAAGTTTCACGTACGTACATGATCAGTTTCACGTACGTACGTGATAAGTTTCAGTATATCACGTGTTTTACTGCGTGCGTTTAGTTAGTCTGGTTCCCAGACCAAAAGATTCTGACTATTCCTGATGAATCTTAGGCAGGCAGCCTCCGTGGCTAAAAATAAACATGACGACATTGATGGCCCTTTTTCAAAGCTCGGCTTCGTTTCCGATTTCGCTTTATCACGTTTAGCTTTTTAATGTTTTGATCAAATTTTTAAGTAAATCACTTGCTTCGTAATATCATACAGTAATGCTAATACAGTTTGATGTTTTTTGTAAGATAACATTGACTAATGTTGATCTGGAATCTTCAAATTAAGGCACCCAAATAGCACTGTTAGCAGGCGGAGCCGAAAGAAGACAGAGTTTTGGAGAATCTCAGTAATGGTCGTCAAATTCAAAATTGTACATGACACAGCAAAAAGTTCGCCCATACGATCCGATTATATTTGATGCACAAAATCGTCGTTGAATTTCAAGATTTCTAAATGAAAGCAATGAATATTAATTATCAACTCTTTTTAAACAAATTAATAAGCAATTAGCAGTTAATTAAACCTATATTATATTCGGAAATACTCGGGCGCTATCCGATTGTCGACGAAACGAATTCGGCAAAGTTCGGAAATTTTCGGGGAAAAGGAGGAATTCCTCCCGTTTTAGTCACAAGATTCATCGGGAATAGTCAGAATGTTTTGGTCTGGGAACCAGATGAGCGTTTAGTTTCAGTTAATCGCGGCATGTCAACGATGTGACCAGAAGTGCGTCAAGTCATACGAGCAAACTAACACGTGTAAATGTACTTCCATATGTGAAACATATCGCGTACGTACGTGAAAACTTATCGCGTACGTACGTGAAAACTTATCGCGTACGTACGTGAAAACTTATCGCGTACGTACGTGAAAACTTATCGCGTACGTACGTGAAACTATCACGTACGTACGTGAAACTATCACGTACGTACGTGAAACTATCACGTACGTACGTGAAACTTATCACGTACGTACGTGTAACTTATCATGTACGTACGTGAAACAGATAACTTATCATGTACGTACGTGAAACTTATCACGTACGTACGTGAAAAAAAAAAAAAAATGTGTGGCGGTAATACGTTTCCGTACTAGCTAACTTGGGTAAAAATGAAATGCAGTTTTATACATGTATCATCTTTATAACTTCAGTTAGGTTCAAATTGCAGTAAATTATATTATTTTATTGAGGATTTTTAATTCAAGAAAATGTTTTATTAAGTTTTTAATTGTTAAATGCTCATGTAAACCGGTATAACATGTACATGTATGTATACCGATATAACATTTACACTATGTATTTCGGGGATGTGCATGTACTTGAACTTTTAGTTTTATGTGGTTGGATTAGGGATAGGGTAGGGGAGGATGGGGGTGGGGAATAGGGATGGGAGATAGGGGTTGGAGTTGTGGTTTGGGTTGGTATAAGAATGGGTAGGGGAGCTAGGGTGGGGTGGGGTGGGGTGAGTGGGTTGGGGTGGGGGACAGGGGTTGGAATACTGGGTTTGGGTGGGGTCGGGATGTGTACAAATGTATGGGTGGGATGGAGACAGGTAGGGGGAGGGTTAGGGGGTCGGGGAGGGGGAAGGAAATAGGGATTTGAGTAGGGTTAGGGTGGGGATGTGTAGGGGTGGGTGAGGATGTGTAGCGTGGGTGTATAGGGTTGGGTAAGGGGAGGGGGCAGAGGATAAGGATCGGGGTTGGGGTCTTGTGGGGAGGTATGGGTCAGTATGGGTAGGGGGATTGGGGTGGGCGGGATATAGGGATTCGAGTAGGGGTTAGGGTGGGGATGTGTAGGGGTGGGTAAGAAGGGATAGGGGAATTATAGGTAGGTGGGTGTAGGGGGTTGGGTGAAGGAGATAGGGATTGGAGTATGGGTGGGGTTGGGTAGGGGGAGGTTGGGATGGGTGTGGGTAGGGGGTTCGGGGATGGGGTAAGGTTTGGGGCATGTGGTGATGGTGTTGTGTCTACATGTACATGTATACCCATTCTTGTTCCGCATTTAATTGTGGGGACTACACAAGAGTTCTCCTATGGTAATACAAGTGCGGGGACCCGAAGACACTGTGGGGGCTGCAAAAAGGCTCCACAACTGGGTCCTAATTACCCTAACAATGAAAAACCTCCCCATAACGCAGTGACGGCTAACCTATATACATATGTATTTATTAGGTCATCTGTTGACTTTTTATGTTGACATTTAAAACCTGACCCTTACACCTTGGCACATCAACGAGAATACTGATCCCCATCATGCCCATCCCTAACCCTACCTCCAGCCTCCCTTCCCGCCTTCGACAGCGAGTCATGGCGACTTCGCCGTTCTAGTTCAAGGTATAGTTGTGTGCACGTTTATATTCTACTGGTCATCAATTACCAACGATTATTATTTCGTGAGAAATGCGTTTTTAGAGCCCAAAAGAGCGCAACCGGCCACAAGTGCACATTTAAGAGTATTGTATTTTGAGTGGAAACAATTTCATGTTCTAGTTGGTTTTCCAAAAATATCCCTTTCACCATTATTTTTCTACATGCAAAAATGATATTACGTAATTATATGCCCTTGTATTTTATTACAGATTGTACCACTAAGAATCTAAAGTATGCTTAGCAAACAACTTGAAAAAAGGTAAATTTAAATTCTGTTCACCATAATTGTTTTTTTAATCCAACTGATTTCTTTTGCCAGCATCAATGTAGCATGGGAAATTCCTGCCTCTAAAGCTCACTGGAAAATTGGACAATTCAAATCTGTGGAAAAGTCTATGTCTTAAACCTGGGTTAACCGTTAGTCTGGTTCCGGCTCCCTCCATCATAGCCCTCACTAAGAATGTAGGAGGTGGGAACAAGTGCGAACGTCCATATACAGGGGCTCAGGAGGAGTGCAAATGTCTCTTTTGCTTTTGAGCATTTGTTTTGGCTTTTGAGCATTTTTTTCCCCAGTATAACAACAAAATCGCTGAAAATCATGAGAAGGGTGCATAACAAATTAAACTGGTTGAATTTGTAGCTCAGTGAATACTAGATATTTTGAGAACAAATGCACAATTTGTTGGCGTCTCGTAAATAAATTCCGTTGCTAACGCACGTACAAGGCTGTGCCTGTAGGCAAATTTCTAAAATCACCTTCAAAGATTGTTTCTTCCGAATGATACCATTTCAGGCAGGGAATTGGTTACCAGTCCTATCTTCATTTTGAGCGAGGAATTTCTTGTTAAATCGCTGGGTACGATTCTGGGTAACTGCAAATGATCCTATGTGTCTTTATGTTTTGACTGAAGCATTCTTAAATTTAACACCACGCATCTATGAGTTATATATCCCCATGCTCCAATTTGTCGAATTTCCAGCGAGCACTAGAGCTAGGTTTTCCAAGCTAGCCTCGATGGACTTTACTCATTAATTGTGCAGCCGAGGACCTCAAAGCGCATACAGCAGTGTCTGAGCCACAGAGTAGGCAGGATACGCAGGAACCTGGCCTGGAAAGCCTTCGGGAAAGTGGTGGTCACGTGGGTGTGTCTGTCCGAGTTTCCAGGGAACTGTGGAATAAACAACATGAACACGATTTTTAAACCAGCGTTGAAAGGTTAATGGGATGAGTTTTCCCTTGCAGTCACACGGTTTCAGCAAGAGCGATAGAGGGAGCCCTCGTCCTACGGCATGCATAATCTTAGATTTCAGGGCTTTGTAGAATCAGTAAAATAATTAAAGTATTGAAAACACTAAGGCAAGACAACAGATTTGTTGATTGGAAAATGGTTGGAAGGAAACATAAGTCGATCTGACAACAAATACCAAGTTGGCCTTTTTCCCTTCTCAGTATACTATTTTTTTCATTCAGTTTTAAATTCAAGAGCGAGGAGAAATAGATGTTTACTTGGGTGGGACTTGAACCCACGACATTGTGCTTACTAGTGCGAATGTCTTACCACTCGACCAGCAAAGTTGCCTGGGTCTGTGGCTGGTTCGAATCTGATCGAGCTTAATTTCCATCCAAAATCAGCACCCGTAAACCGGAGGTCTTGGGTTTGAGTCCCAACCGATTGAGTCAAGCTTTTGAATTTTATCTCACAAACCCTCGGACAACACTGACTATACATTGTTTGTGAAATTACATCGGTGAAAGGGCAAATTGAACAATGCGATTGGACTACCTTCATCGGTGTACTTGATCCATCATCGGTGACGTCAGTCCATTCTTGGCCTTCGTCGCTGTAGGCCACTTTGAACGCCGTCACCCAGTCGTCAAAGTCCGCGCGCCCCTGGGTGATAACGCCAGTGATGATGACATTGGAACCGAGGTCGACTTGGATCCATGGATGGGTTTCACTAGCTCCAGTATCACACCAGGCTGAGGCCCTACCGGCTGCAGAGTAAGCAGATAATCAAACACGTTGAGCATAGAATACTGCTTAGCAAATGTATGTGCTAAGCAAAAACTGACAACCTGCCACAAGCATTACACCTGGGAGAGGCTACACTTGCAAAGTTAGCGGATAGTAAGGAGAAAGTATCGCATGACCGGTTTTATATGCTAATCAAAAATCGGCAGGGAAATAGTCGCAAGCAATGCACAGACATTTTTCTAGTAACCCTCCTCCTTTATGTGTTTTATACAGCCTGTCCCTCCAAAAAATGCTGCAAGCAGAAACGGGCTCTGCGTCCTTGGAATATTGAAAAATATTTCATGATGCTTATATAATGTTAAACCACGGATATTCAGCTTTCAAATGCTATTTGTTTCATCAATTTTACTTTTGCCAAGTTAGAGATATAGTCCGTTGAACACAAACACTCAAAAATCAATGTGTGCCACTGTCTACATTATTAGGCCTATAATAACATGACAAGACATGGCACATGTTCAAATCCGACTTCAATTGAGGTTTGCATTCCAGAAGATATGTTTTTATTATGATAATTTGGAGAGTGTGTTACATATAATGAAAAGAACATTATAATATGAATAACAAAAGTGTTTCTTCACCTATTCATTACTAATTGTACTTCTGCACGATCATACATGTGTATAATACTGGCAATTTCTGTTTATAGCATCAGCTTAAGGAAAGTGGCACAAGTTTGAGTGTCTGTGTTCAACGGACCATATCTTTGGTTTGGCAAATGCAAAATTGATAAAACAAATAAAAATTGAAAGCTGAATATCCCAGGTGTAACATCATATAAGCATCATGAAACATTTTTGAGTATTCCAAGGACACAGAGCTCGTTTCTGCTTGGAGCATTTTTTTTTTGGGGGGGGGGCAGGCTTTATGTTGTGCTTAGCACCTCTAATATGACAGTCAGCCATTGAGGAATGAGCGACCAAACTTGTGAAAGTTCCTGACCACAAAATGTGTAGTTATACAATTGAGCAAAACAGACTTCACTTTGAAGCACCACCACCCCCCCCCCCCCCAGGAGAGTCTTAAACGTTTGGCATTTTTGGTCACTTTTGACGAATTGTGTTTGTTTGAGTTGTCTTATTCTTCATCCCATGTAATTGTTGCACGACAACAATGTTACCTTGAAGGTTAAGCCGAGCCCTGGTGGGTCCGTAATTGGCCCAGTTTTTCCACATTGACGACACGGTGATGCTTGCATTTGGGATGCGACCGTCTTTCATCCCAAAGGGTCCTCCCTCGGAGCACTTCAAATCATCTGTCGGAGGTACTGGAAAATATCGATCAGGGTGGGGCGGGGTTCATTAAAACAATCACAATCATGTATGTTGATTTGATTTGTACATTGACGCTGTAACTCAATTAGACGAAGTGTTTCAAGTATTGTGATTATCATGTTTCACTCAAGCGTCCATGAATGAATGCAAATCTCTTGTGTATAACAGGGTTGATAATTGTTCCAAATTTGCATATTACAACTCGCGACACAAAGGTCAGGTCATCCACACCAGATGCGAGATGCGAGATGGCAGATGGGAAACTTTTAAAAGAAGGATAAAAATATCGACACCATAACCATCCTTTAAAAGTCAAAATTTTGACTTTCAAAAATCGAGCTTGTTTTGAAATCTGCCGCACTTGTCTTACCAGTGCATCGTATTTTGCGGACGTGCGAAAAACAATATTTGTGCCGTGTGCATGTGATTTGTACCGTGCATTGAATGCACACGGTTGAAATGTCCGCCGCGTCCGATCCTCGCGATGTGAAGGACCGTCCCCCCTCCTTTCTTTGGAACGATAAGACATTAGAATAGTTTCCTTTCAACCAGACCTTTGAAATAGGATAAGTATTAATTAATCCAAAACATGACATTTTTGGGGATTTTAGGCCGCAATTCCCTTTAAAAACGCTAAAATCAACGGATACACGAGAAAGTTGTATGCCTTATTTCAATAATTTTGACTCGCCAGGGGTATATTTTAATGGTTTTGATTGAATGATTGATTGATTGATTTGATTGATTGCCATTTATATACAGTGGTATACAATAGAAAGTGTTGTGGTTCTCGTGCTCAAAACATTAAAATACATTAAACTTTACATTACAAACATCTAACAACCACATCATTTAAATTAATTCCCCCTTGAATTATCTCCTTAAAAAGTAAAAGTCATTAACAAGACAAAGGAATTATTACACTGTAATGTAAACAGTGCTTTGACTAGCCCGCCGCTGTATTTACTCGCATTTGGCTAGCGGGCTACCACTAAGCTCGAACCATTAATATGCCTACATGGCAATCTCCCCTCCCCCCCCCCGGAGATTCCACTGTCGACGCCACTGTCCCCTCCAAATCCTGACTAGAAATCGCCTCCCTTGGTGCGTAATCCGACGGGTTAAACCAAGGGTTATGCGTACTCTGTGATGAAAAACCAAAAGTACAGGGAGTACTCCGCAATGACTTTTTTTTTATGTTGGCTCTGCTTTTCAGTGAACTATACAATTGAAATGTCATGGATAATTTGACTTAATTTATTTATTTTCATCGATGCCCAATTGATTTTGGGCGGGAAGACGAGGCAGAAAGCTAGCAATTAATGGTTATGTCTGTTTTGTATATTTTCCCGGAGTTACTGCATTATAAATGAACGAGGCTCACTTTATTACCCAATTGATGAGAGGAAAAATATCGCCAGAAAGGCCTTGGTAATGCTACGTTTTAAGATACTATAGGTTTCCCGACTAATTTTAAACATTCTTCATTCCAATGCACCAACTCTAACATTCAATTTCGTCCGAGAAAAATTTCACATGCTTTAAAAAGGAAACCACTTCAGCCATTTATTCAATGTTTGGTAACCCTCTTTAGTCACCGGGTCGATATTCGACATTACAGATCAATTT